CTCGGATTCACTTCTCCGCACGTCCTACCTTCCAGTAAGTGGTTGCTTCTCTGTTCAGAGAGTTGTTGCTATTCTTTTCTTCGATCTCCTGTTGAGTTCGTAGTGTTCAGAATGGTTTGGTCCCTATCCAGCTGAATTCCTGAGACCAGACGAAATCCAGATCTCCTACTCCTCTGCCATCTTTCTCCCCCCGACAATTTTGTTTTAAAGTATGTTTCTTATTAGATTTTTAATAATTCCCGTTTTTTAAGTGTAACATTAAAAGCTAGTTCACTTATTGTTATGGTATTTGTAACACAAAAAAAATCTCCAGAGGAATTAATTGGCAATTAAATTTCCTTTCTTTTTAGTTGTATTTTTTTTTTAATTTTAAAATACATGTCTGTTGTAAAATATTGATTTTACAAATTTTGTAACTGGTTTTAAAATTTGGAGTTTATGTGCCCATTGCCTAAGTTTGAGGGCCACATTCATACAAAGGCAGAAGGAGCCTTGTCCTCTACCAAACAAATCATGCACCAACTCCGATTGAATTTTAATTCAATCTGAGATAAACCATAAAGTAACAATAAAATATTATGATTTTTTGAAAGACAAAAGTATAATAGTCTACCAATTCCTGGAACTTTGATATTTCCTTTCAGCTCTACCACTAGAATATAAGACTAATTGTGTTTGATCTTGATTTCCTCTGAAGAACTGGAGTCAGTCATTTGGTTCATTTAAGGGCATATTTTAATACTGGATTAATGCTACATATTCTGACTTTTTTGTTGTTCCTTGCATTCTGATATAACACTTTAATAAAATTACAGTAAATGAAACTGTCCCTCACATGAACATAGGAACCATAAATTCACCAATAACTATTTTTTTTAAGATTTTATTTATTTATTCATGAGAGACAGAGAGAGAGAGAGAGAGGCACAGGGAGAAGCAGGCTCTCATGGAGCAGGGAGCCCAATGTGGGACTCGATCCCAGGACTCTGGGATCATGACCTGAGCCGAAGGCAGACGCTTAACCATCTGAGCCACCCAGGCGCCCTCACCAATAACTATTTTAACAAAAAATTTGTTTTATCAATAATAAACGATTATTAATAAGAAACTACCAAAAGCCTAGGAATATAGTGATTTTAAAAACTGGATATTATCAAATACTGAAATAATAAGCATACATACAGCTTCTAGTCTCAACACAAGTATTATTGTGAGGATCTGATTTCTAAAGCCGATGGAAACAGTGCATATTTGAAGCAGTACATGGGTGTCACTGACCATTTTCTCCGTCAATATATAAGTTTATAAAGATACTTGTCTATTGTGACTTTAAATAATACTTAAGCATTTTATTTTCATCTCAAACTTCTGTTGTTATTGTTTTTAAATCTCAAGATGCACAAATTCATGGTTAATGTACAGTTTGTTTTTTTAAAGATTTTACTTATTTATTTGACAGAGAAAGAGACAGCGAGAGAGGGAACACAAGCAGGAGGAGTAGGAGAGAGAGAAGCAGGCTTCCCATGGAGCAGGGAGCCCGATGGGGGGCTCAACTAGGACCCTGGGATCATGACCTTAGCCAAAGGCAGTCGCTTAACAACTGAGCCACCCAGATGCCCCTACATGGTTAATGTACAGTTTAATCATGTTGCCTTAAGTTAAAATGCATGTTCTGGTTGAATCAGGATTTTACTTTCAGAAATTAATAGACAGAATAAAATTAGAAATAAAAAAGTCTATTAATTATACATTTTTTAAAAATTAAAAGATTAGTATAGCTCAACAAACAGAAAGCTCATAGACAAAATTCATAAATTTGATATGCTCACTCTTAGCTTTAAACAGATCAAATACCATTTTAAGAAAACCTGATTTATCTTAATTATTTGTTCTGTTTTATCTGATGATGTTCATAAATTTACTGTAATGTAAACACATAAAATTTCTCCTCAAAATGGTTCATGTTGAAAAAAATTATTCACCTTAAGATTGGATATGACTAATTGCAAAGAAATTATATGAAAATGTTATATTAACGTACCTGAAGTCCCCAGCAGTATGGAAGGGATTTTTAACATTCACATTAATTTCTTTCCATTTATAACATGGAGATTTGCAACGTAAAACTTCCTAAAGTAAAAAAAATAAAATAATAATAATAATTCTATATGAAAGTAACAAAAAATAACCTGAATTATAATATACAAACTTAACCTAAAAAATAGTACACTGAAATATTACAGTGATATTAATTTATGCAATCCCCCTTGTCCCACAAATAGTGTACTGCTAAAATCTGGGTGGGAAGGACAGAAATAGATTTTACCACATTACTGAATCATTTGTCACAATAGTGTCTCTTAAACTGATTTCCCTAAAATTGGTTTTGTTAATGACTGAGTATGATTTCACATTCGAAAATTAATCAATCATACCTATACCTAATATACATGACATAAGGAAGAAGCCAGGTGTACGTATGTGCACATGCGTAGCTCTGTGAGTGTGTGAATATCTGTGTATGAGTGTGGCGTGCCTGTGTTTACAATGTGGTGGCCACACTGACATTATTTGTACTGTAATAAAAGCACAAATCTAAAATTAAAACTTCGAATTACCTGAAGGACTTGCACGGAAGATAAGATTCTAGGAATTCTACATTTTTAGACTGATCATGTTATTATCTTATTTCATTTCTCCATTATTATCCAGCCCACTCCCTGGTTTACTAAAACCATGAGTAGCCAGATGGAGAAGTAAACAGACTGCATGAACTTCAGGTGTCAGGTTTTCTGCCCCAGAACCATGTAAATAACAAACTAAAATCATCCATGTCTAGAGACACATATGGTAAAGCAATGTTTTATTTTGGAGAATTCCTGTGAGAGGGTTGGGAAGTGTAAGAATTTATTATTCAAGAGGAAATCTGAAGATCATGACACACATCTCAGTGATAATCAAATCTCCGCTTCCTGTTCTGGGTGTCTGTACCTTGTAAACCAGTCTGTCCATGTGAGCAACTTAATGCTCTCCTCACACAACTGGCCATTACTGGAGTCAATCTCTTTTTCTTCTACTCATGCCACTGTACACCCCAGATTCTTTATAATCCATGTGGAAATTTGGCGACATAGCAAGCTTACTTCTTCTTTACCATACATCCATGGTATAAAATAATATTTAGACAAAATAACAGCTATAAAAAGTCAATGATAGCAATATCACAACTATCTTAGAGAGATTTAAAAATCCTTCTCCCCCATCCTTTGAGATATAAACCGAATTCTGTCTGGCACGTTATCGCCTCTCAATAAATGCCAGTCTTAGCATTATCTTTAGAGTGGATTTGATCCAGGGGGCACTCAAGATAAATTGATGAATGTTCCTATCAGAGAAGAGAAACATTTTCTTTGCTGCATAAACCACCAACCCTTAATTCAAACAAAAACATAGATAGAAGCCCAGGGACTGCTTTACCTTAAATCACAAGTCTCCACAGCGGAAGGGAATATAAGTTGCTATGTGTATAGCGAATGACTCCATTATGAAAAGAACAAACATAATCCTAAAAATCTGACCTTAAAGGAACACTCAATACAAGCAAATCCTCTTATAAAATTGAAGAATTATTTCCACAGAAAGAGTATCACAGCAAGAATATCAGAGACACAGAAGCAAAGAATTGTGCAAATGTAATTATGTGCACATGTGTCTGTACACAGGCGCTCAAAGAACAGGAGCTGTATAGAGATAAAACTTGGAGAAACAGCTGGGACACTCCACGGCCTGAGAAGAGAAGACACATGAAGTTGGTAAAATTTACTTACAATGGCTTTAAAATTGCGGACTTCACCCTTAAGAGCAAAAGTCATTGTAGTGCCTCCTATTGCATGCTTAGGTTTTGAAATTAATAGCAGTGAAGCTTCAGCAGGATGAAGGAAGCGACTGGTGAATTTCAGAGTGATATTAATTTGGTTTCTATTTAGTAAAAGATAAAAGAAGAAATATTTTATTGAAAAGGCACAACAAGTAGGTCTTCAGTGTAGATCACGTGCCCAGGGCCTATACTCTGCAATATACTCACTTCTACAATAAAATTGAAGACTGCTGCAGATCTCAGCAAGCCTACAATCCAGTTACTGTCATCAGTTGAAACATCTTGATCCAATCTGTAAAACCTACAGTTCCCTTCAAATGTACATACAATTTACCAAGTAATGGATTTCTAGTTAGCCGCAGGAAATCACGTGGGTATTTTTGTGTGAAATTCATAGGACATTCTGTGCTACTGTTTAGATGAACATCATATCATATCACTGTTTTTTTTTTTGTCGCATAGAGAAAAAAATGAGAAAGACTAAGAATTCAAAAAATACTTAAAGCCATGGTTGAAAATAAAATTTAAATCTGGAATCAAAATAATGGTATATAAGTAGCAGGATTTTTGAGAGAAACATAAATAAAAGAAGGAAAACACAAAGCCACATCCATCTCTCTTAAACTTCAACTTTCTAGTCTAAAACACAGTAAAATGATAAGGAGTCTATGGACTTGGAGGAAATTGCACTTACCGGTTTGTAGGGGAATGACTACACCATGGCATCCTGGCAACTTGGCATGCCAACGCATAGGCCACATATACAAGGCTTATTAACTGCAGTGGATAAAGTCTTGGCAGAAAGCCTTTGATCCTCCCATAAAAGAAGAGCACAGAGGCACATGAAGAACTGCTACAAGAACCTTTCTCACTTGCCTCCCTACCTCGCCTGAGAGGGTATCCTCAGTTTCTCATTGCCTCCTACATTCTGAAGCAGTAGGAGGGTTACTACCTAGCCCCCTTCAGGGGATAGTTACAGGCTGTAAAACTGCTTAGTTGCAGCATGAAATTGGCTGTCAACAACAAGGTGTCCTACCAGGCATGATGCATTCGTCAATAAAAGCCCTTTTGTTGTGCTATTAAACTGCACAAGGGACATGGGGATCTGGCCCTTTTGATAACTTCTGTTTTCACTGTTTATTAAGTAATGAAGTCCTCGAATTAAAAAAAAAATGGGCTCAGTGTTTCTTATATGGCTAAATCTTTCAGACTTGCCTTGCCTTGACACAACTGTGGGTGAAAAATCTTGGGGAAATTTTACCTTTGCTTTTGCTCTGGCTTTTAGCATAGTTATCACAGTTAGTCCTTTGTGCAAACTATCACCTACTGCCTTCTCTTAGGATGCCCGTATGTGGAAATGGAGATGGGAATAGATTCTCTCAGTGTCCAACTTTGAATTAACTTCCCCCACATCCTTGTGGAATTAATGATGAATGGGTAAGTCTATGGAGCAGCAAAAAGTAAAGTGAATTAAGGACTTTCAAAATTAATAGAAATACTCTCAAAACTGCTTTTTAGGGAAAATTACAACTCACATGTAGCAGGAGTGGGGATGGTTTTTACTCAGATATGCCATCACTAATCTCCTCAATTTGTGCAAAGGGATATTTTGTTGGTCATTATAAAAGCTCATGGACTTTAATTAAGAACAAAGAATATTTGACCTTGAGATCTTTTTCAGGGTATATAGGCTCAAACTCTGTGTTAGGATACCTGTGAGTGACTTAGGATTTTTCTAGATATTCTAAAATTCATCATTAGATCAAGTCATTCATTCATTCATTCATTCATTCATTCATTCATTCGATTTTGAGAGAATTTATAATATCCCAGGCGCTGTTTTAGATTTTGGGATATAGTAATTAGAAAGAAACCCACAGTATTCCTGATCTCCTGGATCTTACATTCTATAGGGCATGCCAGACATTAATTATGTCACCACAAAATAAATGTGAAAATTACAAATTATGTACATGCTAGGAAGTGGTATGAGAGCATACGACAGGGAGTGTGGTACAGTCTGAAGGGTCAGAGGAAAGGATATGCTGGGTGGATATGAAGGATAAGAACGACTTAGCCAGAATGAGCAGGGGAGCAAAGAGGTATCCAAGGTCTCTGGTAGGAGGAATTAAGTGTTTGAAGAACTTACCAAAGGCCAGTGGTACTGAAGTTTAGAGAGCAAGAGTGTTAGGGATACAGATATATCCAAGAGCCGGCTATGAAAGGCCACATGTTGAGATAATCAGCCTATATCTTAATGGTAATGGGAAGTTATGGGAACATTTTAAGCAGAGGAGTGATGTAAGCAAATTTACATTTAAAAAACTGTTACCATTCTAAGACAGAGGATGGATTGCAGAGAAACCTTTTAGTAGTCTATTTAAACTACACTTAGTTTAAAGATGATGGTACATTAAACTTAATGTGGAATAGGTGATAAGAAGAAAGATGTCAAATTTAAGATATATTTGGTAAAATCAATAGGACTTGCTTGGAGATTGGCTCTCCATGGAAGTTGATTTTAAAAAGGTGTATGAGAATGACCACAATCTAAATAACAGGCACTTAATAAATGAATTTATGGACCTATACTTAAATCCTATGAAACATATTTTTTTAAATTTTTTTTTTAAAGATTTTTTATTTATTTGAGAGAGAGAGAATGAGAGAGAGCATGAGAGGGAGGAGGATCAGAGGGAGAAGCAGACTCTCCGCTGAGCAGGGAGCCCGATGTGGGACTCGATCCCGGGACTCCAGGATCATGATCTGAGCCG